ATTAAGATATTTTCGTGTTACATTCCCGCGGTGGTGGAATAGTAAAAAAAAAAAAAAAAACTCGGAAAAATTCGTGAAAAATAAAATTTTTTTACATCCATTCGACGCGAGTCGAGTTTCGAGAAGAGAGAGAGGGTGGGAGGGGGAGGAGGAGTTAGGGCAGAGAGAACAAACTGAATTTACTGCGAATGCCAGTTGATTTACATGTATTCGCGTTTTCCCCGAGCCTTATTGAGCTCACTTGTTGGACATCCTTTGGCTGCACGCCAAAATATCTGCAATACTCTCTCTCTCTCTATCCACCAGCACTCCGCGCAACCATATGCTGGCTCTGGCTTGAGCTCGGCTGGCACGCGAAGGTATTTAAAATCCGACCGTAACATTTGTTTAAGATTGTTAAATTTTAATTGTAAATTTACTCGGTGCCGTGCAATTTTCAATAAGCAAATACACTGCTTTTATGCGCATTACCTAGGTCGTAAAACCCTATATTTACGGTGTTTTCGAAAAAGGATACAACCTTTTTTTTTTTTCGCTACGACCGGTTTAAATTTTCATCTTCTTTTGATCGAAGCGCCGTGGGTAAGTGGCATTTTATAGCGCGAATCCATTCTCTCGGCCGGTGAAGAGAGTTGATTGCACTTAACATGTAACGACAAGCGATTAATTTAATAAATTGATTAATTTGAAAGCTTCGCCCGCGCGCTAAGGCTGGCTATATATATATTGAAACAGCGCCGAACGAAATGAAAAAAAAAAAAAAAAACCAAAGAGTCAAAATGAAAACCTTAATTATGAATACGCAGAGTCGTTACACGATCGCATAAAAGTGTTATTTATTACCGAGGCAAGAGTCGAATGCGACATTTCGACAGAAATTCATTAAAATTTCGTCCCTTTGCGCGTCGCGCAATGATAATTGTTTCACGATTTAGGTAAATAATGACTTTCGACGTTGGACGACGCAGCGGCCCGCGGAACTGGAAATTGGACAGATTTGATTTTTGCCCCCGATGGAATGCTGCACGATCAAAGGGCGCAATAATTTACTACGCCCGATTTACTTTTGAATCATCTCGCTGTTGTTTCGAAAGATTACTCGATGAACGACCCAATTACGGACTTTTTAAACGCTGTATTAATATTTATGCTTACGATTCGTCGATGATAACTCTCGTTTTCTTTCCGCCTACACCCCCATTCACGAGCGCTCGGCAATTTTCGCCGCCCGCCCGCGCCCGAGTACTATAGAGATATCGCGTCAATGGGGACGGAGGGAGGGAGGGGGGTTAAAACTTGGCACAATCTATCTCTATTGTATGCGTACTCGGCCGCAAGACCACCATATACACCGTCGTCGTCGGCGAGAGAGAACTTGGAAGTAGTTTCTCGTCTGTGGTCTTATATACTCGCGCGGCGCACACGCGAGAGCTTGGCTCCTATAGCTGGGAGTGTAAACTAGGAATCAAAATCATGTTTATTTTATGGGGTGGCCCATACACACGCTACACACACACAAAAGGCCTAATTTCACGCGCGCGATTAATACACAGCGTCTGCAACATAAATCATCTCTGCGTAATAATGAGGCCGGATGCAAAGGCACACGCATTTTTGGTATGGACTGTACTTGATAAAAGCAAAGTGTAATACTTGTAAAATAATTTCGAGATGGAATATAAAATAATATCTGTGATTGCCCCTCGCCTCGTGTTTATATTTACTGCTATACTTAAATTCAAATGTCATGCCGCATTAAACTCGCGAATAGACATCGTGGGTTAACCGAGGATGATTAATACGTCGTCTACTTTGAGGAAGAGTAGTTGAAAATAATTATGCTTTGAATTCATAACTATCTATCTTGGTTGAAACGAGATACAAAAATTCATTCTAATTAATTATAATAAAATGTACTTGTGTATTACCACTATCCTTTCTTACCGGTTACATTTTCCTCTTAATAAGCCAACGCCATTTCTGTTTTTCAACCAACCCCCGTATACATGTTAATCTGTGCAAAGGGCACGAGTACATATATATAAGCGCTAAAGTTGAAGCTCTTCTTTTTCAAGCATAGTTGTAGTTAAGTACTTTTGTTTCCGTATATATAAGCTGTACATTTTTAGGAGCTGCGGTGCCCTCCTGTGTATAAAATCATGGGTTTAATTTTCTTATCTCGTTTCTCTCGCAGTTAATTTCCAGCCAGCGCGCTCGTCGTCGTATCGCGGTTGAAGTGTTTATGTTTACTCTTTCTCTCTCTCTCTCTCTCTCGAAAGAACAAATCGATACGCTTCGGAAAATAAATACACCACTGTACTACCAATGCTGCTGCTATAGGGTCCGCGGCTCTTGTGTGACTGATACTGGCAATTCGCGAAACATAAAAAGAGAGAGAGAGAGAAAAGAGGAAGAAAAAATATAAAAAAAAGGCATAATAAGAAAACACAGTGGAAAACAACATAAAATTTGTCATCAAAATCACTATAGCTCTGATCGATCCGTACTGGCGCGCGCGCGCAAATCCGCAGAATTATTTGTGCACTTCGGATTAATGGATGGGACAGAGCAAAAAAAAAAATATCGAGTTAAAAAATAAAGTTGATCGTTTTAACATTGAGCTATCGGAACTCGGAGCATAAATTGTTTTTTGTTTTTTGTCGAAATAGTTATTGTTGATGCGCATGGTTCGTAGAGAGTTATATCGATACGCAGATTTACAACGTACGACAGAGCCCGGAATCGCGCCGTATATACCTTGTTTATGTATGTATAGGTACACGTAAAAAATCTCAAACAGAAATAACTTTCGAGTGTCCAAGGAGTTATTACTCGGTAAGAATTTTTAAATTTTCGAGCGCGCGCGAGAAATAGTTCAAGGACTGCGTCAACAACTTTTGGATCGTACTTGTCGGTTTGATTTTTATTTTAATTTCGTATTATATACCATTTGTTAAGTAGAACCACACGATTATACCCCCAGTCTAGTTTATACGAAACTTCGAAGAAAGTATTTTTGCACAATTTCAGAGATCGAGGTATAAAAATTCATCGAGTCGTGTTTGTTCTTTTTTTAATCAATCCACTCGTAAGGAATTTCAAAACTCGGGGCTTCTTCGAAGATTAAACACAAAAAAAATCACCCCTTACACGCCCAAACGGAATGGTAAAACACGGGTACGGTAGCGAGAGAAGGAAAAAAAAACATTGATTAGTTTAATAACTCATTTCGAGAAATATAAAGTGAAGTAAAGTAAAAAAAAAAAAAAGAAGCGATGGTAAAATTATACGCGCGCAGCGATCATTCTTATAAATCACGAAAAAAAGCCGATGAAACTCTTATACGAGAGCAGCAGCAGTAGCAGCAGCGCCATGTGTGTGAGCTCTGCAGCGAGCCTTTATACTCTCTCGGAGGAGCGTTCACATTAATCAGAGATTGTCTGCTAGCTCCGCGAATTGTTCTCGCCTGCAACTGCAGCTGCAGCAGCAGCAGCTCGCACCGAAATTATCCGCGCGAGAGTTTCTATAGGACTCTCTCTCTGTCTCTCTATAGCACTCAGGAATCGGCAATATTACAATTAACGCTAAATAGTATTATCTCGTGAATTAATGAACTACTTAATGAATGCTACGATTCCTTCTTCTCTCTCATTTTTTTTCTTCTTCTCTACTTCTCTTTTGAAATTTTGTGCTGCCAGCGTGAAAAACTCTCCCTCTTCCTGTCTCTCTCGCTCCTACCGAATACACGTCAGGAATTCCAAATGAACTTATTTACATTTTTATCTAATAATAACTAATGGTCAAAGTAAAATATTTCCCAGCGAGTCAGAGCGAGAGAGAGAGAGAACCTTAGAAATGTTAAATAAGCAACTACATAAATTTTGGACGCACACGTTAATTAAGAACTCAAACTTGAACGTGAGCGCGCGCGGTAGGTGCGCTCGCTCGCTCGCGTACAGTAGCTAGCTAGCAGTAGCAGCAGCAGTAGTAGCTATACTAGCTAGCTGCTGTTGTAATGATTTTCAAACTTGTGCCAAGGGCTTTTCAAGTCTTAAGTTTCAAACGACTGCTTATAAATTTCCATATAATTTTACACTTGAAAATTTCGGGACAAATCACATTACACTTGTTACAAAGGATTAATTTATTTTATTTTTTTTTCTCTCTCTCCCTTTCGTTCGACTCGTGCGCGCGGCTGGGCTAAAAGAGAAAAATTACGCGAAAACGATGCCATATACGGGGCAATTGATATTTTTAAAATTGTTTTCTTTTTTTTTCATCTTCCCGCCGGCTCACAAAGCGTTTAAAAAGCTACATCTTTTGTGAACTATCAAACTCGAATATTACCAAGAAAGAAGCTGGCAGCGCGGCGTGCTTATGAAATTTTTTTTTTTTTCAAGTAGCAGTAGTAGTTCACAGCACCACGCGTTCAATGCTGGGGCTGCTTTTACGAGGATAGTCCTATAAAATTTTGAAAGAACGACCTCGCGCTTTAAAAAAGAAAAATCTCTTTCTTACTAATTTTTCTGCGCGCTACACGCGGCGTATGCGCGGAAAAAAGGCTGTAAAAAATTGTTCTTCTCCCGAGCATCGGCTCGATATTACTCGCGTATTAATTGAAATGAAAAAAAAAGACTACCCCCTGCTTCGTTATATACTCGTATACAAGTACAAGAGTATCTCTCTAATTAATTGGATGTTAATATTGCCAATCGATCAGATCCACTGGAGCACGAGAATTAATATTTTAAACAATCGCGAGCTCGAGCTCAGGCTCGAGAGAGATAGGTGCGAAATTATGAAGAAACGAATGAAGAGGAAAAAGAGAAAGAAAGAGGGTAAGAGAGAGAGAGAAAAAAAGCAGTGCGACGATCTCGCGCAATCGGATAACAAAAGGGATCTCTCTCTAATTACCTCTTTCTCGCTTCTCTGTATGCCTGAGTGAACGTAACTATTCGAGCGCTCCTCTCTCTCCCTCAGGAGGGGGCTAAAGAACTCACCTCTCGTATATACCGTCAGCAAAAGTAGTAGCAGCAGCGGTACAGCAGCGGCAGTTCGTAGCTACGAAGCAGCAGCGGCAGCAGCGTTTTGTGTTGTTCGAGAACTGCCAGCGAACGACGCAGCGGACGACCGGACAAAAGCCACTCGCAGCAGCAGTAGCAGCAGCAGTTGGAGCTCGTCTCATCATTGACTTTTCTTTTTTTTTTGGGTAAAATAAATTCACCGTAAGAATCGAGCAGCAGCCGTCCTTGTTGTTAGAAACATAGCGCACTTATTTGAAACTCGTCTTGGTGGTCGTCGCTCGACTCGACGACGCAGCGCACTCGTCGAAACGATCGGGTCCCACGACGACGATGAACAAGGAGGAGGTCGCTCCGGGAGGACGAAGTCGATTGTTAACGCATCGCAGTTTCATGATTACAATCGGTTAGTTAGTTAGTAGTATTAAAGTGCGTGAAAGCGCGCGAGAGACGACGAGCTTTGAATTTGGCGCGCGCGCTCACGGATTTTCAAATATATCGCAACGGCGAGCGAGCTAGAGTTGCCTCTGCACAGTTTTAGTTATTATCGCTGCTTCTGTACAGAAATTCATCACGAATATAAAGGAAAATTTAACGGCAGATCGTTTCACAGTCACACACGCACTTATTTGACAGCTCAATGTACGTAAGCGCGAGATAGTACAGGATGTGTGCGGGCACACTCGACCGCGGACAGACTCTCTGCCTCTGCTCTCTCTCTCTGTACTCTCGTCGGCCCTATGCGCTATACTATCGCTGCTGGCGCTGCGAGCAGCGAGTTTATACCCTCCGATCCTCCGAGTAGAGTAGAGAGTAGAGAGCAGAGTAGTCCCTCTCTCGTGTGCGCCGCCACCACCACCACCACCACCTCCCTCGGCACAGCAGCATACGACGACGACGACGACGACGACGACGATGCCACTGCCCCTATGCAAACGGTCCGTCTCTCTCCCTCTCGCTGTATATATATACGGGACAGCGCAGCGTCGAACCGGCTATATAGCAGCAGAGAGAGAGAGAGAGAAGGGAGGCAAAATGCCATTGCGCCACGCCGCTTGCAACGCAGCGCAGCCAAGCAATAGCGCAGAGCGAGAGGTGCATGTGCGGAGGCTGCTGCTGCTATATACGTATCCGCAAGTGTAGTATCGCGCGTGCTATATACTCTCTCTCTCTCCACGACGACGACGACGACAATGCTCGGCAAGCGCTAAAGCTGCAGCTGAGAGAAAAGCTGCTGTGCTGCTGCTGGCGCAGGCGTACTATAGCACGAAAATCGCATCCACGATGCCGTCGCTGCCTCCTCCTCCTCTCAGCCCCCCGCCGACCAACCGCCCCCGCTTACACATCCCTCCATCCGATCTCTCTCTACTCTACTCTCTCTCGCTCGTGCCTTTTTCTTTTCTGCAGTTTCTCTCACTCTCCACCGACTCCCCATATACATAAGCTTTTCCGTGCTATTTCCGTTGCTCGCTCTCTATACCACGCTCTATCTCTCTCTCTCTTTATCTCTTTTCGCTAGACTGCAATAATATATGATCTATAAATGTGCCGCCCGCGCGCTGACTATAATAAGGACAACTTGCCCGTGTATATGTGTGTGCGTGTGTGTGAAGCTTGCGATGCTGCTGCTTCTGCTGGCCCCATAAAAAATCCTCTCTCTCTCTCTCGCTCTCCTTTTTACCCGATGTTTCTTCCTTTTACTTATATATAATATATATCCTCGACATTTCGTTTCTCTCGCGCGCAGCTCGCGACGTGTCTCACACGTGCTTGCTTGCTTGCCTCGCTGCAGAGAGCCCCGGAGTGCTTGTGCATTTCCTATGAGGATTTATATATAGCGCGTATAACGCAATGAAACGCGAGACGATCCCAATCAAATATATCCTCTTCTACCCCCAGACTGTACCCCCTAAAACATTCATTTAAAAACTCATTTCATCCTCTCTCTCTGGCGCACGTGTATATATAGTATATACAGAAGGATCGCGCAAATGCCATGCCACGCGCTCGACGCGCAAGTATAGAGTAGCGTAGCGTAGAGAGAGAGAGAGAGAGATACCACAAGATAGACGCTCCAATTAAATAAAACTTTTGTCATCATTTCAAAGAGGCGCGCGGGACACACACACCACGCGCTGCACAGCAGCACCCGACTTTCGGGGCTAGGCCATCTCTCTCTATTCCGTTGTATCGAGGTTTGCGCGTTGTTTGGGAGTGGATATTTGAGTTTCTGACGCGTCTTATTCGAAACTGTGCTCCGCGAGAAAGCTGTCGATAATTTATAACCGAAAAAGTAGAGTGCACCCCTCACCTACCTACCTATACACTAACAAGTCGATTCGAGCGCGAGGCTGTGTGCGCGGCGTCCGTGAAATGTCAAAAGTCCGCTTTTGTACATGATATATTCAAGTTAATTAGAAAAAAAAAGAATATTGTATATATCCATTGTCAGTCATGAAACATTCAAGAGAGAGAGAGAGAGAGAGTATTTGCATTTTTATTCGCGGATATTATGCACGCGGGTAAAAATTTCATCGATCACGTAGTCTTCCCCGCCACTGATAACTACTTCGTTTGTGTGTGTGTGTATGTGTGTGTGTGTGTGTTTTAGTATATATATAACGAATTGCATAAATTATTTTATTTGACGGCGTTACGGCACGAAATAATGCTCTAAATAGTCGTGCACCCGTTATAATATACTTGCGGCTCTCGATCGGCGCACGCCCGGCTCATCCTCATTTTCGGATGTACTACTTTATAGGCTCGTTTCCTCGCTCACCCCGTTTACTTTTTATCTCTTTTCTATCCTTTTCCTTTTTTTTTTAACTAAATCCACAACCGCGATGATTTGAATCGATTTCGCGTTTCTCGTTTTAAAATTGAACACCTCGGCTCGATTCACTGCAAACGTGTGTGTATATGTGTGTGCGTCAGAAATTCCAATACATCCCCTCTCAGCAGCAGCAACAGCGCGAGCGTGTGTGTGTATCTGAATTTGAAATTAGATTTTTCAAATTAAATGCCGAAACTCGTTTTTTCGGGGAACGCGGATTTAGAGAGAGACAGAGAGGAAAGACGCGAGCAGTTGTTGCGCTGCGCTCGCGGGAGGAGTTTTACAAGAATGTTTTCTCTGTATTGTCTCGACTCGAATCTCGTTTCACCGATAAATAAAAAACAAAAAAAAAAACGACACAGAAGGAAAAAAGGAAAATTTCAGCGAGAATAGCTCAAGGAGTTTATATTCACTCGCGCTACGCTACTACGCAACAAGAAAAGAAAACAACCGAAAAGTCCCGTTGCGTATGTTGCACCGAACGAAACGTACTACGCGGAACTCTTTCTCTCTCTCTCTGAGACGTCGGATTCAGAGCAGAGCAGCCCCCGGTAATTCTCTTGTGTATAAAACGCAACGCAACAACGACGACGAAGAAGAAAAAAAAGAGATTCATACGTCAATGCAGCATAACCGAAATGCAGAAGCTCCACGAGCTATCCTCGCTTTAGCATTATCTCGGTTAATTTATTTCTCGGCGGAGGTTAAATAATTGATGCCGAGCGATTGTAAAATTTAATTTCGCAAAAGTAGGAGTCGAACCATCATTGCCGAGGTAATTCGTCTTCTCTCTCGGCACAGCAGCAGCAAGCCGCACTACCTACCTACCACCTATATCCCGAGGAGGCGAATCGTCGTTAAGGCACACCATTGATTAAAGGAGAGCGTCTGTCCCCGCCGCCGCCGCCGACACGTCACACACAGTTCAAAATTTTCAATACTATTTTACACCGAAGTTTTCAACAACTTTTATATTAAAAGAGTACGCGCCGATATCGATCGCGACGCCCTTTGTGTCGCGCTCGCTCGCGTATATATAGTTTTCACAAATTGACTTCTTACTTTTTTTATAAAATTATTATCATTACGTATAAAGAATGCGGGATAATTAATGTTAGCCATTAGTGTTCGACTTTGCGAAATTGTCTAAATATTTATCGTTAAAAAATATGTAAATAATCGCTTTAATTTTCACAGCGAGCACACGGACGAACCTGGAGTAACAAAAGATAATTATACCGAGAGAAAGAGAGAGAGAGAACCGTTTAATACCTACGATGCGGCTCTCTCGAGGGCTCGTATAAAACGGCTTTTTGTTTAAATGGAAAATAATACTGAGAGGGCCGTAGCCGCCGTAGCCACCGCAGGAACGTGTAAGGCTCCTGAGTTAATATAAAAGCAGAGACCCTACAATGGAACTTGGCGGCGGCGGTGGTGTGCGGTGGCCAAAACGAGAAATGGTCAGTGAGAGCAGCAAGAGTCTCGTATCACTCTTTTGGCGAACACACACACACACACAGACGGGCCAAGGTATTTCAAATTTTCCATACAGGCCGCGCGCGCGAGCATATATGTAGATAAGTAATCTCTTCTTCTGTCTGCGGCAGAAAACCAATCTAACTCTCCCTGCCACGGTGGGGGGGGGGTAAGGATATGTGTGTCTCTCGGCCCCCTACTCGAAGGTATTATACCAGCAGCGAAACGTACGATATTTTAATTTTTGGAAAAAAACGCTCTTATCGAGTCGCGATCGGACGAGCGATATCGAATCTTGGGTTTCATAATGTATACGGAATGTAATATCGATCGAGCTTTAACAAATTGTTGTGTGATTTACAACAGCCCGCCACTTTATTACCATAAAAAGTACATAAAAAAAACACACACACAACAGCGCGGCAATCATTGTTTCGGTCGTATATTCTAAAATACCGTGTGTACTTGGAATAAGTGTGAAAAATTTGAATTTCAAAGTACTCGAAGAGTAGAGAGAGGGCAAAAAAGAGCTGCCGCCGCTGTGACACGCACTCCGGTAATTCCTTTGTTTTAATGGCGATTCTCACCGCGGTGAAAAATTCACTGCGTTTTTAGATTGATTACAGAGCCGTGTGCCACCGCGCGAGTAGAGAGAGAGCAGCTGCGCGTTTCTGATACGTCAGTCTCAGGCATTTTCTCCGACTATATCGGCTGAAAGCGCAACTCGCAACCGCGCCAACGAATTGATAAACTATATGGGCAGACAGGAAGAGAG